GTTTCGGGAAAAAAATAAATCCAAAGACATACAACGCTTGGCTATCGTGAAATGTTTGATATTTTCAAATAAATAAAGTTCAACACAAAACCGTCCTCTTATCGCACATTTTTCTTGAACTATTTCTTTACAGTTATCTGAATGCAGCTGTATTGTATTTTTTTTTTTTTTTTTTTGCCTTCCATGTTGCTATTGTGTTTTTCATTATTGTACACAGGCTTCCTCGTGGATTGCTGCGAGCTATATGTACCATCTATCTAAATCTCCTTTCCTCATTCTCATCATGAGAAATTAGTTACCAGTTCCTAAAGGCAGTTCTTTGTTGGTCTTTCTCCTATATACGATAATATTTCGATCTCAGATAACTCCGGTTATCCTGTGGAGGATCTTCCTCTCATATCTATCTATCTATCTATATATATCTATCTATATACATAATACCGGTAGCAGTGTCTACTGGCTTGGTTCAAATTATCAAAATGTTTACTTCATATATTGTAGTTCATTATATATTTGTGCAATTTAAATTTGATCTTTGAATAATTAAGTCTTAAAATATGGAACACTCAAACATTTATTTAACTTTTTGATGCATTTTAGTAATTTATCTCTATATTTCATAAAATGTTGGGCTCGAAAAATATGATTCACATATCTTTTAAATAAATTTTAAGACAGCTTTAAATTTTTATTTAGGACAAATAGTTTTAGCAGATGTTACAGTATAGTTTTCCTATGAGTTTGGTTTTGTTTTAAAATTATCAACTTTGCTATTTAAGTATTATTTTTGACAATTTTATTACGAACTTAAAATTTGATGAAAAAAAAATCATCTTAAGATTATATTGTCATGACCTGGGATTTCCTAAAATAGTAGCTACACTGAATCCTTGAGACGGGGCTAGAAAATTCTCTTAATTCAAGTTTTTCTAAAGCAATGACTGCTCCGACATTTTGTTTTATGATGTGTACCTTCAGAAACAACCAAGGCCTGTCAACAGTTAAGTCAAGAATCATCAAGGACAAAATCTATTTTCTCTTCCTATTAATATTATTTTTTTTTTTATTATATTATGGTACAACTGCAAACTTAAATACGTTTGTATGTGAAAAATATGTTAAGTTTGAGACGTTTAGTTTGAAATTATGAATCCAATAATAACATTAAATAAATATATTTTTGAAACTATTTTATTAAAAAAATGTATAACACATATATTTAAATAAATATTTATGAATTATTAAAAGTGAATTAGATGTATATCTTTAAATTTAGTTATTGTATAATAAACATTTATGGTTGAGTCAGTTATTTTTGTTGTCTGTGGAGTTCAGAAACGTCTTAGAAGAGAGAGAAAAGAATAAATGATCAAAAACTAATTACAAATAAATATAATAGTAAATGAAAAACATATGAAAAATGAAATAAATAAAAATATAAAATACAATCGTTTATTGATATGTTTACATTTCTAATTATTTTCTATTGTTACAGGTAAGTGATTTACTTGGATAAAGATATTTAACTGGAATTGAAGTTCTGTGAGTACTTCTTTATATTTATAGTAATAATGGTACTTTGATTTAGGATTATTTTATATTTATTTTTTAACGTATTTGATTTGGTCAAATGGTCCCAACTAACTCTTTTGCTTTGGTTTTAAATAATATCTTTTGGACTGATATGTTCGCTGCGTGATTTAGCACAGTTGAGCCGGTATGCAATATTATTGTAGTTCTCAGAGTGTCGAGTAAATTATGAGAAATATTTAAAAAGGTGACAGTAGATATCAAGAGAAACAAATAAAAACTTATCGGACTTCGGTCTGATATCACACAGAAAAGTTGAAATTTGAAGACCGAAGTTTTGTATTTTTTTTTAACTGTCACTTTTTTTTCGTTTTATAGAAAGGGAAATTAAAAAAAAAAAAAAATGCAATTTTGTTAGTTGATAATTTCAGAATAGTAAACTGAAATTCTTTTCTTTAAATGCATGTAGAATTTATATTTGTTAAAACTATTTTATAAGGGCTTGAAGTCGCTTAACTACGCGAAAACTAAGTTCTTTTGTATTTATTTCCTCAATAAAATGAGTTTATATTATTAGATAATAATAATCCTTTTAAACATATGATCTCAAATATTGTCGTAAAAATATTGAATACAATTGAAAGGACGTTAAAGATGTATACATGTACATTGTACATCAAACCTACAAAAAAGTTTATATAAATCATGGGCCAATTCCCATCAGAAAAGTAGGAAATCCAAGTTTTGTGTTTTTTTAAGAGAGCGTTTTTGTTGAATATGAAGCGATAACTAAAGAAATATATAATTTGAGTAATTAAAAATTACTTCACTGTAAACTAGACAAAATTTAATTTAATTGAAAAGAGAGTTTGTCATTATTAAAAACATTTAAACAGGACATTTGAGCGGCTAAACTTAGCTAAGTTCAGTTTTTAAAAAATCATAAATTATTCGCGATTTTTTTTTTTTAGCATCATCCAACTATATTACAACTACGCCACTTTTAGAAATACTATCTCATTTAGTAAGGTTTAGGTACACAATCATAGAAACCGCTCGTCCGATTACTTCAGCACTTACTAGACAAACGCTCTAAACTTCCTATTAATTACAAAAGACTCATATTCATGACTATAATAAGGCCTAATTGGACTTACGGAGTTGAGTTATGGGGCACCACTAAACCATCAAATTCGTTTCGTATCCAATCCTTACAATCCAAAATCCTTCGTAAAATCCTCAATGCTTCCTACTTTGTTACAAATAAAAGCATCCATAATGTCCTTAATGTTACAGATCAGGCCCAATCCTGATACCTATCCATCCGTAATAAACTTCAGAATCATCCCAACCCTCTCGTTTCTAACCTTCCTTCCTCTTCAATCCTCGGTAATCTTCCGAGGCGTCTGAAAAGAAGATGGCCCCGTGATCTCTTAATGTAGACATATCATTAGAGTGCTACCATTGGGTAGTTTCTCAACAATTGTTTTCATGCCATTATATCCATATATTCAAATTTACTAAATGTATTTCTTTAATACACTTGTAAATATCATTAAGAAATAAAAAAAAAAAAGTTTACACAACTTGAGGTGAATCTCAAGTTTTTGCCTAATAAACCTAAATTTAATTAATATAAACGTAAACCTTATTAAACGAGGTAGTTTTTATAAAAGAGGGGTAACTGTAGTACAATTGGATGATGATAAAAAAAAAAAATCTCGAATAATTTATGATTTAAGAATAAACAGAACTAAGCTAAGTTTAGACGCTCAAATGTCCTCTTTAAATGGCTTTAATTATAACAAATTCCCTTTTCAATTAAAGTAATTTTTTCTAGAGTACAGTAAAGTATTTGTTAATTACTTAAATTAATTATTTCTTTAGTTATTGCATCCTATTCACCAAGAAACACAACTCTCTTAAAAAAAAAACACAAAACTTTTATTTCATACTTTTGTGCTGAAAATAGGTCCATTGTTTATATTAACTTTTTTATAGGTTTTGAAGTCTGCTATCCCACCTATCAAAATGTTTCTATACTTCCGAGACACCTTGTATATTTAAGGGTTTCAGTGTAATATGTTTAGATCTCAGAGCAGTGAGACTGCAGAAATGTGGATTTTCGTATTTATAATGAGGTATTATATGACTCATTACCACTAAACAAAATTAAAAAAAAAAATGTATTATTTATGAATGGAAACGTACATTATACCAATAGTGTTCTCTATAATGTTAAGAGTTCAAGGAGAGACCTGGGGGCATATAGGGAAAGAGTAAACGATTAAGCACTGCATGACCTAACCTTTCGACTTTTAAGCGCTTTATTCAAATTACTGACATATCGATTGGATGAAAACGTGCTGACAAAATAGTTAACGTATAAAAATTCTTATTTACGATCAATCATTAAAGAGAAATTTCATAAAATATAGACAATGTTATATCAGGCTGCTCGTCTTTCAGTATTTTCATTCATAAGTATTTTCGATAACTTTTTAAAGAAAATTTTACATCGGCGTAGAACGTAGAATAATCGTTAACACTGGTTGTTGGAAGGCTATATATATTTTTTCATTTAAATCATAATTAATAAAAAATAAATATTTTTCATTTAATATTATTAACGATTTTATTACAACTTAGTTGTTTATCGTATCCTATAGATTTTGCCACTTTTCTCTGTCTAGCTAGCCTACCTCTGGAAGCCCTCTGGCTGCCAAGCCTTCTTTCAGATCCTGCAACCATTTATTCCTTGGTCGTCTCCTTTTTCTCATTTCTATATAGTTTGATGGAGAAAGGTTAATTTTGACCTCCGTAATTCTCTGCAAATGGCCAAACCATTACAGTATTTTTATTTCTAAGTTGTAGAGCATAGTTATTTTCTGCTGAACATTTCGTCTAATATTTTTATTGGGTACACTCTTTTGTCTGGAAATGGCATAACAGTCTCCAAAAGTCCATCTTCAATGGGAGTAGCCTTGTCTCTTTTTTTTTTTTGTGATCACCCACGTTTCAGATGTGTTTTATATTATTCAACATATGTATAAAAAAAATGTTAAAAACTATAGTATTTATTAAGTAATCAATGATATAATAGGTTTAAAAGTATTGTTTTTCCAATAGGTAATTCTTTAGATATTGCGATACTAGTATTTGTTTAAATCTGAATCAATGAACAATAAACAATAAATACATTGATAAGGTGAAGCTATGCCTCCTTTATCAACAGCGGAATAAGATGGATACGGTTATCAGCATCGCACATTGTGAGCTTTCACTTGATAAGGATTCATTGATGATAATTAAGAACTTTCTCGTTTTAGATTCTTAATTCGCACCAGGAAGAGATTGTCGGATAAACTATCGCTGATTATAAAAACAACCTGATTATGCGTTAGATATTAGCATAAAATGAAGATAGCTGCAAGTACAGTTCTCAGTGCAAAGCCCTGTAGAGCAGGAGGTTACAACACAGTTGGCAACCCTGTTAGAGGACCAAGGCTACTGTACTTGGGATGGTGCTGGCAGTGAGCCAGGTTAGGCAACACCTCTGTTGCATCGCGTCCACCTACTGACACCTTAGGTGGTTGGTCAACCTGTAACCTGGCCTTAGTGGACACTTTCATTGTCGTCTTTTCATTGTCTTCAGGAATGTCTATCACCTATGCAATACAGTTTTGTCCTATTTAAAACAAATATTCCGAAGGATGTTTAAGAAATTATTATGACGGTTAAGTTTGTTGCTATAAAAATAAATAACATAATTAAATTGTAAAGATTTAAACACTTATTCCTTTTTGAAAGCCATATATTTTCTTTTAAACGTTATTGCCCCACATTGGCGGATCTGCAGGAGAGAGAAAAAGAGGAAAATTACTCTTCTCACTGCTGAGAAAAAAAATTAGTAAACAATAAGGATGTTTAAAATATACCTATTAGTAATAATACTTCTCGATAAAGCAAGCAACAAAAAAAAATTGACATACATTCCGAAAAGCTGATCATCGTAGCTAATCATCAATAAAATTAATTTTTTTTTTTTTTTTTTAGCTTTAATGTTTTATTCACACCTGTCATAATGCTAATGACAACCAGTGAATGTGAGATCGATTGATTAATAGAATTGTCATGAAAGGCATGAGGAGGATCAGTGCCCAGCGGCACCTCACTCGGCGTGATATCTACATTAGGCGAGGAGGTCCCTCATCCAGCTCCTCTTCAGTCTCCTACAGACGTTACCGGGCATATTCGTAGTGGCCATGTCATTTATAAGTGTATTAGTATGTCCTTGTAAGTTGTCATGGAATCGTTTGTAATGAATACGTATGTGTTCGTTAACAGTCGGCATATGGAGGTCAGTATGTAAGGTTATGTTGCTAACGTACCAAGGTGCTTTTGTAATTGTTCTGAATGTTTTTGCTTGAAAGATTTGAAGTTTGTTTAAGTGAGTCTTTTTAGCAGTTCCAAATATCTGTGATGCGTAAGTCCAAATAAGTTTTAGTAAGTAATTGTATGTGTTCAATTTCTGTCTAAGTTTTAGTTTTGAATTTTTTGAAAGAAGTGAACTCAGAATTCTTAATCTTTGATTTAAAGTTTTTCGTTTTTTGATTATATGTGGGCCCCACGTCATTTTTCTGTCAAATGTCAGACCAAGGTAGTGAACGGTGTCTGTCTGTGGAATCTGTGTATCGTCAAGGAAAACTGGAGGGCATGTTTCATGTCGAAGCGTAAATGTGATGTGCTGTGATTTGTCTTGATTTATATAAAATTAATTAATATCTAATCTATGTCTACAACATTGATTTTAAATATTGCTAGGTATTAAATTAAATAAATTGGAACATGAAATTTACTGCTTATATAATAATATCTTAGTGTATAAATATATTTAAAGCATTGCATAATTTCGGAACGTTCATGTTTGAAAACTTATTGTTGTGAAGATATATGTAACTGTATATGTAATTGAGTATTTCCGAGATCTTGTAATTTTTGATAAAATAAAATGAGTAAAACGTTTAGATAATCCTTTATTTCTTAGGTAATCGATTTATTACAATTTCTCTCATAGAGAAAGCAACATTTCTCCCAAATCGGTCACTCTGATATTTCCTCTCCGAAAAACTACCTCTGGATTCGCCTCTGTTGCACATAGCCTAAACGCACACATTTCAAGTCACGTTTAGACATTTCAAAAATTATGGGAAACATAAATGGCTTCTTTTGTCTGTTGTTTGTGCTCAGTGTATCTGTTTTCCTTTGTCGGAATTTCAAAATAAATCAAAGATAGATCGCGTTAGCGCTAGTTTCGCTGTTTGACAGTTTTTTACCGTTTGTGCTACTTGAGAACTGTTATTTGATTGTTGCTTGTACAATTTAAATGAATTTTCTTCATCCATTATCTACTTCGACTTACTTTATGCCTTCATTAATTTTTTTTTTTTTTATGCTTATGTGTGTTTTTCTGAAAATAAATAAAATTTCCTAGCAGCCTGTTTCTGGTCTTTTTATTTATTTCCAAACTCAGTTTTAGGGCTGCTCATATCGGTTTTAATAAGTCATGTTTATGTTTAATGATATGAGTATAAGAATTCAAATTCCCATTTACTTTCTTAGGATCTTCACCTAACTTTCTGTTCCTGTTCCTTACTCTTTTTATAGATTAAGTAGTACTTGTATCTAAATAGTTAAGGCTGTTGGTAAGTCTATACATAAGACCTAAGTCAGAACATGTATAGAAATTAGAAGAAATTTGTGATAGTCCTGTGTAGTGTTGCCCAAAATCGGTCTTGGTCTTGCACTTTGCAAGACCAAGACCAGGGACTATTTAAAAAAAATCGGTTTTTTTATAATAATTAAGGCAAAATAGTTACTAATGCTCTACAATCTTAGTTTCTACATGTTAATAATTGGTATAACCAATATTATTTTGCATTTAACTCATCTAATTTTTCATTCGGGCTTAGTTAGGTTTCTCCTATCTAAAAAATTACAGTAACATCTCTATAGTAATAAGATAATAAGTAACTGTTATCTTAAGTAAGTAGTAAATGTTGCGAGTCTCTTGCGCAAGACCAAGACCATGACCAAGACTGGGCAACACTAGTCTTGTGTCTTCAACGCTTAATAGTAAACAAAAATAGTACACCGATGGTAGGATAAGTTGACTGTATTCGTCTTTTACGGAATAGTCTAGCAGAGAGCTGAATACAGGCAATGATCCATGAACCGATGGTGAGCCAATGAATTTTTCATGATCATCCATTTTTTATCATGTAGTGCGAGCTTTTTTCATATATTAAGTAACAATGAATAATGCTCTTACTCAAAGAAGTGGTATATAGTTTATTCGTCACGGGAACTACGCAACTTGTGTGCAGCAAGAGCCACTGTTAAATGTGAATGTATAATTAAAGTAAGAGAAAAAATCTGGAAAGTGGTGGTAAGGATGCAGAACTTTCTCAAGGTTGCGCGACACTGACCATCCTCCTGAGGCCGAAGAGCAGCTGTTGAGAAAATTATACAATCCGCAGGCTAATGTCGGCCCAGCTCTGCGAGAAAGTGTTACGGAAACTGAAGACCCGCGGTTGCACAACCCCTCATTTTCTTCTTCAGCTAACAGGGCCTATATTAATTGTAGTTCCATAGAGCTCATGGCCCAGTGCTTCCTGTCGTAGCTGTTTCCTATTTCGGAGGAACACTGCTATTAGTCTGTCTTGTGCCTCATCGTTTATGTACTAGGTTGAGAAAGGTTTGAAATTATTCCTAGATACGCAAAATTTCAAATCATTACATTATATAATGTTCTGTTGCTGAAGCTTTCAAAATAGCCAACAGAAAATACAAAAGTCGTAATTCTAACTGTTAAGCTCCCTCTTAGTTTAAATCAACTTCGAATGAAGCCTAATTATTATTCTAATTAAATTGATTGTAATTTAAAAGAAAGTGGACTGTATTATGAAACACTTACATCTACTAATAATGAAAACATGAAAAATAAAATGAAATAAATTTTACATTGGTATCAATAGATAAAATAAATAAACTTCTAAAATGAAAATAATGATAAGCTGAATACAATATTAATAATAATTATGAAATATCTAATAAAATAGTTGGATGTTTGATTATGGAAAAATTAACAAATATATATTAAACCTAATTTAGGAATTATCCAAAACTGAAAGAAAACAAATTAATAAAAGTCGAACAAGTTTACGTGGTCGCAAGTTTTAGTTTTATATAAAAGCGATTTCCGGCAGTGCAGTAGCTCAGTGGGCTAGGCACTGAACTTAATGTCGCAGGTTCGAATCCTTCTGATATTAAATAAGTTTGTATCAGCAGCGGATCAACCGTAACGCCCTTTGGACACACCTGAATAAAGTGAATACTCTTAAATTAACAATTAATTAAGGGGGGAAATTTGGCGGTTGGGCATGATCATGGTCCAATCACTTTCCCGCACAACCGATGACCTTGAAACAGTACTTCCTAACAAAGTACTGAACCCAAAACTTCAGGGGTTGTAGTCGTAGAAGTTTTTTTTTTTATTTATAGAAGTCATTTCCAAGTCTGTTCCCAAAGTAGGCCATTGAAACGTGATAAACTATAATTTTGATATCCCAGTATGCTTTTTTTGAACAGGTCATTCAGCTTTGATCCTTTTTTGGAGTATCATTAGAGCTCTTCTAAACATCCTTAAAATCATTCTTCATTTCAATCTTTATTTTAATCGTTATCGTTTAGTAATCCGATATATGTGACCTCCACTTGGAAGAGCTGCACCTTCTGCAGAACTCATGCGACAGCGGTGGCCTGTCCCAGTTACTGAGAAGATATATTACTGTAGGTATATTGATACATTACTGTCCTTCGCCTACCTATGTCGGCCCACATTGCTTTCCCTCTCTTGCTAGACATCCTTGCCTATCATCCCCGCTGGGGGATTCTGGGTAATTACGATGAATGGGGGATAGTTAAGCAGTACATCGGGTTCTATATAAGGAATTTGAAGAAAATATGTACTTTCATGATGGCATTGAATGATATTTTAAAAATTAGCAGCCATGGAAGTAGATGAAATGCAGAGTATATAATTTAACTCTGTTGTGATCACTATTTTTTTATAAACTAGTCATATACTTAATTTAATTTACTAGGTCAAAAAAAATTTCCCAATTGCTCAACATTTTCTTCAACGTTACAAAAACCTTTGGAAAGCTGAATTACTGCATTTGCAACCCCAATTTATAACTTATAGAATTTATACCTCTACGAGGAAGGAATAATGGAAATCTCCTCAAAGATTTTTATTTTATGAATATAGTTCTAAATTTTTTTACGGTGGACAGATTGTCCCATTTCGTGAATTATAGGGCCTCAAGTCTCTGCTAAGTTTTTTTGTGGATAGGTAGAGTCATGGTGAAGATATCACAATTATTGATATTTTCGAGAATTTTTTTTATTTTGTTTAATTTATTTATTGAGTATTACAATAATTTGTCACATGGACACTAGTTTTAGTATAGTTGGTACTACGGTACTATGGTCACTAGTATAGTGAGGTAGGATAACATTCGCACTATATGTACAAAAAATATAAAATAAATAGAAGCAAAATAACAATAAATAATAATCATAAAGTATATACAATAAATAAAATAAAATAACCTAAAAATAAGAAAATTAAAACTATGCAAAAAAACACATGCATACCTATATACACTATTTACAATATAGTGAGATGTGTATTAGTGGTTTGAATATTATTTAAAAATCTGGTGTGTCCACTCACACGACTTTCCTATATATTTCAGAAAAATTTTTATATCTTTACATTTGTCCATCAAGAAACAAAAAAAAAAAAATTAAATTAGATACATTTTACTGAAAATTGTTCAAAGAAAAGATTTGAGTACGATTTATTTGATAAGCTAAAGCAATTGTAAACCGGCTTAAGGTAGATCAGGGTAAAAATTTCAATACTCACACTAATATTGCTGATCAAACACTTTTTGCCATAGCCTTATTTTGTAAAACAATAAATTCTGTTAAAAGTAGAGGAAATAGTGAAGCTTGTGTGATGCGGGCAATAGATTTTCTTACTTTCACTTAGTTGTCTTTTTTCTCTCATTCATTTCTTTCTGATACTAGGATATGACCTGGTAATCTTACATTGGAAATTGAATAGCTGTAACTTCGTTAATAGTTGTCCGAAATGCACGATTTTTATATAGTTTTGTAGGAAATTTCATTACCTTTCAAAAAACAAGCTAGTGTTAAATCTTGGCACAGACATACATGAAGAGAGACAGACAGATAGATCATTAGCTAAAAATGTGTTTTTCAGACTCAGGGGGCTTTGAAACGTATAGATCAGTCGAAAACCGCATATCGAAAATTTGACCCAATCGCAATACTTTCCTTACCTAGTATAGGTAGGAAAGTAAAAATAAAAAACGTTACAGAAATAATATGGCTGTAATTTATCTTGTATTACTACGAATTCAGTACTGATTGGAAATCACAGAAGGAATGCGATACGACTCAGTAATTGGCCGCTATATGGTTGGACTCTATAAGTAATAATTATTTAGCAGGTCCTGTCGAATAGCCTGTTCGTCATCCTAAAGATCGGTCTAATATCTACTTACATCACCCGGTAATGAGGCACTCGACTCGGAGTATGGGTTCCGCCAAATGAGAACCTGCTCGATAGATAATGAGAAAATAAGTAAAGTAGCGGAGAAAAGTGGAGTATTTCTTCTAGACACCGTTATACCGCCGACGACACGTTATGGTCGATGGCAATATTAGAAGGAGGGCTTGTTCATTTAGTTGTATAATGCATCGCACTATCTATTCTTGACTATCCTATTGTTTGTAAACAACCAGGCCATCTTCCTTTCACTAGATGCGAGTTCTTTAACTTAACGATGCATCAAGTGAAACCTTGATTGACTAGTCTTTGTGTTCGTTGATTCTACGACATCTTAACTTTCATTTTTATCATTATCATTATTTATATTGGAAATGTGTCGATATCAATCAGAGGGAGGCACCACAAATCATGTTATAGTCTCTTCTAACTGCTTGCACAAATGGACATTGTCTTCCATTTTAACCTCACATTAGAGTTCTTTTTATGCTTTGGGATCTTATTCTGTCCCTTTTATGGAGAAATGTTTGTGTTGTTGCAGTTTCCTATTCTTGCAATATATCTTATATGTCTTTAACTATCAGTCATTGCTATTCTGATGACCTTTGGATACTTGTAAATATTTGATAGTTACCGATTTATGATTTTCATGTTTGACTGTTGTTCAAGCTTAAACTTGACTTGAACTCCAATTGTACAACTGGCCCTAAGTTAGTTCAAGTCTTATCATTACACAGTAGTTAATAATTTTAATAATGAATATGTTTATAAATCTTAAACTATGAATACTAAAGGTAATAAAGAACAATCAAAGGCTAGAAACAGATACTACAGCACCAATGTCTTATCCAAGTTCGGACCCAATTTTGGATATTTTTTTAAAATCTGACACGTGTCTCTTCTCCTTCTTTCAATATGTGTTCTATCCTCCGCTGTTCTTCATATTCGACTTATTTCAAATCTATCTTTCTTCATCCTTATCCATCTTCTTGCAGTATTTTTGACTTCATCTACTTTTTTAAATTCACATGGAGTCACTCCATATAAAGGTCAATGCAGTATCCCCCATCCTGCAATCATGTTCTTAAACAACAGCTATGAACACCACATAAATTAAATGTTAACATTAAATAGTTTACAATTGAAGCATAAATTAATGAAGTAGCTGATGTGGATAGTAATATTAATTACTTTTGTAAAATTGTATTTTACTTTTGTAAAAATTGTATCCTTTTTTGAAAAAAAGTGCAATAAATGGATGCCACAAAGATTTGTAAGGACAGAAATGAATAAATGTTTTTCAAAACCAGTAGACATAAAAACAAGAAACGCAACGATTCATAATTAAGAGACTTGATTTGCGACAGCTTGTTTTTAATGTTTCTTAAAGTTTTTTTTATAATGGCGGTTTGTCTGATAATTTTTTTCTATATATTTATTTATTACTAATGATTATTTTTTTTTTTTGTACCTGTTAACCTGGTAGGATAATGAGTCCTTTTCCCACAGTTGCATCACGTGATAACTATAAACACTAAATTAAGGAACATTTTTTGAGGATCTTTGGGACATATGATTGTGATTTTAAATGTTAAATGTTTCAACTTTAAAACGTGAAGTATTCGAATCAATACAACGTTAGAACTCGTTATCCGGGTTTTCAATGGTGTATCAAACTATGTGTTATTGTATTTGCAATTATGTTATTAAAATGAATAATTAGTAGGTGTCAGAATATATTTTTTCAAAGTAACTAGTACATTGCTCACTCCTAAGGTATTACTATTCACAGTTCTATTACTATATTTTCCATTATGACTGTCACGTAGAGGGCGTTACACACAGCGATACATTCTATAACGCCGAGGCCAGCGTTTATACAATACAAAGCCAGTTGAAGTCATCTTTTTGAGTTTTCGCTGTTTTATATCATCAAAAATGTTCATATTGACTGATATAGGAATGTGAAGCCTTACTTAAGAGATTAGCCATGAGCACAACTAATGTGAACTTGATCTCACTTTCATACAAACAGAAGGCGATATTTAGCGCGGCGACATTGTATGTAAATGTTGTATTTCAATCTATTCTACTATAACAGTCACATAGAGAGCGTCACCCCACAGCGATATATGGTATAACGCAGGGGCCAACAACAAATTTATACAAATTACAAATATATCGTCCTTCTTCGACGTTATACTCAACCTAATGTAGGGAGAAAAATGAGCTAATGCCCAAGTTAATAGGATTATTCCAAGATTATAACAGCATGATCACGCAGAAGGCGTTATTTAGCGCGGTGCTCTATAGTGCTACTGTTGTATATTTTCTATTATAGAAGTCACATAAAGGGCGTTACACACAGCGATACATTCTATAACGCCGAGGCCAGGAGCTTTTATGTTCGAAAAATATTACGGATACAAAGCTTAGTCGAAGTTATTTGGTGGTAGTATTCGTATGAATATACAAAACACCGAATTATTTATATAAAAAGTGAGGAATTTGCCATTTTTATTTGATACCTCAAGCAAAGATTAAAAAAATATTATTAAAAAGAAGGATAAATGGAAAAAAATTGCGGAAGAGCTAACTATTACAAGATATGTTGCTATTACTATTATAATTATAGAAGATTACAATGATTATATGTTATATTCTTTTTTACCTTGAATGCATCATTTAAAAGAAATATTTGTTATTGTATGTCATAAACATCTCTCATACTTCTCATTTATTTACATATAACAATTGTGACGTTTTGTGCTTATTATCTATTTTCAAACATTCCTCAAAAACATACAATACCTGTCTAAAATTGTATGTATAGTTCTGTATAACTACTGCTTTTAAAAAATAGTATTATCAATATATCTATTATACAGTTATCAATTTAATATTAACATTTTTAAAAAAGGAATATTTCAAAAAATTCTTCTATAGTTTTTAGAAAAATAAATCCGTTGATAGAATATCTATTCATAAACATTTTTCATTATATATTTATTATTTACTTACTTATTCTCACATTATCAACTATAGCATAAACCACTTTTCCATATGATTCAAACTATGATTACATTAATGTTTATATTAAAATAATATCCTGATAATTGTGTGTTTGCAAAACTAGCTGAATTTATTCAGTTAAAATATATAGCTATTAATTCAGTTAAAAAAAATATCTGACCTCGTGTCAGGTAAAGGGAGGTTGAGGAACAATAACCAATAACTAATCCAAGAGATATATGTGATAGTAAAAGAAATTCGTTACAACGAAAACTGCTAAATTAATATTAAATAGATAAGTCGTTTGATATAAATCAAAATGTGAAATAAATCTGAAGTTTTACATAAGAAAAAATAGAACGATATTAAATAGAACATTATTAAAATCTTATGAAATATAGTATATATATATATATATATACTAGTAGTCCAGTGCGAAAAATTCGCACAGCATATTAATACATATTATTATCAAAATCCAAATTAATAAGAAAATAAAATAATGCAACGTATCAAAAGATAAATGAATGAATTGTTACTTTATCAAGAAATATAATCGACCAAGGAGAAAAAATGAATTTAAATCTTCATTTTTGTTTGGAACCAACATATTTACAAATTTCAATAAGCTTTATCTGTGCGAAAAGTTGACCGATTTCAACGATTTTTTTTTCCTTTTGAAAGCAATTTAGTAATGTTTTATATAATCATGGAGATAACCAAGGAAAAAGTATGTAGTTTTTTAGTTATTCGCAAATAAAGTTTCTTTTCTTTCATAACTTGCTTGCCTGAATTTTCGGGATGATTGGACTATTTTGCCCGCCTGAAGGAGAAGGAAGCCTTCGAAATTGGTGGCTCAATCTTGAGATTTGGTGAAGAATTAACGATGATATGGCTTGCCGATCAAAAACACCATCGATAAATAATATAAACTCCTCCTCTCTCGATCATAGAGACCTCAAGTCGACGAAATGAGACATGTATTCAATGACAGTACTACAATTAACGTCAGGTTGTGTGGATGCGAACCCTATGCCTTGCGTGATCTCGAAAATAGTACGTTTTTGGGCTTAAAAACGCAGGATCCGATAGTTCCGGAGGAACTATCCGGGTCCTGCTGTACGCATTAAAATCTGCAAGGTCCAATTTGTCATCGATCTACAGACCTACCACCGTTCCAGTATTGAAGCCTAGCAAAATGTTTGTATCGACTTTATTTATTTTAGAAAGAAAAACAAAAGCGGAGAATACGATTCGCTAATCCCCCGTGAAATTCTGAATCCAACGGTATCCCATTCATGGTATTTGAGCATGACAGGAGCTTATATTTGGTACAAAACCTATTTCGAGCCTTACTGTAATAATATATGTGGGGATATATAATTTTTTTTTTTATTTCACGTCTTTTACAACATTGGTCATATGTCGTCACCAAATATAAGTTGTTGCCATCTTCTTCTGTCCTGCTAGTCTTCTTCACGCATGCCCCTGTTCATCATTCCTTCCTTTACGCCCTCATACCAGTTTCTCTTCAGGCGACCTTTCTTCTGTCTACTTTCTGGCTTCCAATCCCAAATTCGCTTAGACCATCGTTCCTCTTCCATCCTCATCACATGTCCATACCACTTTAGTCTCATAGTTTCAATGGTGTGGAGGATGTTCTCCATTTTTCCTACTCGTTTCCTTATTTCACGGTTTGGAACTTTTTGAAGGCTAGAGACACCACATGATCGTCTCCAATAGTCCATTTATAGGGCCAGTAATATTTTTTATTGACTCTCATTAATTGCCCAAGACTCGGCTAAATAGGGAGTAACACTTTCTAGGAAAGATTTGTAAATCATTTTTTTTTTTTTGTTTTTAAGAACACTGCTTTACTCCACAGTTTTTTTTTAATACACATTTTTGTAATGCTGTGCTAAGTTCTATTAGTTATAAGTGCCGTTTCATTTCAAGGATTTGAAATATAATAATGAGGATTCATAAAATTCTTGAGGCTGAAAATAAGCTTCGACACTTAAACTCCTACATTTTCAATATTTCGTTTATCCGCATTTTAAGTAGTGAAACTTTTTTTCTGCCTCAAGAATTTTATGAATATACGTCTCTTCACCTCATACAAGCTATACCACAATAATGA